CTTTATTTGATTTATGCGTATTTACTCTGAAATATCCACTTTATAGTGAATATTTACTTAGTATTTCGAGATTAAAAGTACTCACTTCTTTTCTTACAAATAGCAAAATGCATAATTTACGTGCCACCAAAATGTAATGCCGCAGGAGTCCTGATTATCCCTAGCACTACGCCTCTGCTGGAATAAAACAGCACCTCTCAGTAACCAGTAACCTTGCAAAAAAAAAGAAACTCCTCAAGTACCTTCTTGACCATCGAGCAACGTCCTAGCGTATATTTTTCAAAAAAAATGCGAATATAGGCTAAGGTCAATAATACGCGTTGACTCCTCGCACCCATACAAATCCAAATATGGCGATGAATGCAGCATTAATGCGAAGCCTTGAGACTGGTTCTGAATACGCAAGTATGTCCATCCATTTCTCCGAATTTCGGATTCTGCTGGATGGCGTATTTTTAACGATGACGGTGACAATGAGCGCGAAATTCTTCGTTAATATGCTTGCGATTTGGTGATAAATAATGTCACTTAAGGATATGTTGTATGGTCGGTGTTTGCATATATTAATCATAGCTTATCGTTCGAAATGAGTTTCAATTCCTGTAAATGTTGCTCATGGCCTGAGAACAACATAAATTTACATTATCTGAAACAGGTCAAGTTTAAATCAGAGCCCGTACCTCTAAAATATAAACAAGACAGATGCATTTTTGCTGTCAACAAAATTGATCATTATCGTGAATAATATGATACATGGAGGTGTCGATAACAAATCATATACGTATTTGCGTATAATCTTGAATTGGAATGATCAGTCGCTACCAAGTGACACGTAGCTCCTTCTTAAAGTGATCCATAGATGGGTTGTGGGTTGTAGAAATTAAGAAACAGGGCTTCGAAATTCCTGGGAAAAAGATAAGCAAAAAAATCCTCCTTTAGCAAGCGTAGCTGTCCGCCTTCAAAACGTTAGTAGGTTAGCAGTTCTATTGCTTGTATCATGATTATTTTACATTCCGCAGTCATGCACTCATATACAGGGTGGCCCATCCATGTGTGGACGGAATATTACTCATAAACAATTACATTTTGGGAAAATCTATTTATGGGATGTTATGCATGACATTTGAGGGCACATTTCTAAAACATTGGCAATTATACAGGTCCCAGTTTTGACCTATATATGAAAGTTGTGATTTTTTTAATGGAATGCCTCAAATTCTATTGCATATTTGGATAAACCAATTCAAAAGAAGAAGATCGATATAACATACTATGGGGTTTTCGTAATTAGCTACTGATATGTAAGGTGTTTTGCCCAGAAAAATCGTCCACTTCGGCAAGCCCTCAATCCGCCATTTTGAAATTTAGAGTACTGAATTTTGTATCAAAAAAAACTTACACACCTTAGCTTTTATCTTTTTTGTTACTTTTTTAAATGTTCATTTTTGGTCAATTGTACTTTTTCTAAAAAATTTCAAATGCATCACCCTGTATATTTGTGCAAGTTTGGATTCAGTTTTTTATAAGCTTTTTTTGGTATAAGGTTTGATTCAGATAAAATCACTAGATTTTGAGTTATTAAGCTTGTAATAGAGCAACACACCAAAATTAAGGAAAAAAAGCTCATCATAAAAACTAATAACAATCAGAACAGTATAAATCAGCTTCAAGCGTAATAGAGAAAAACTGCTCGAAAATATCTCCACCATGTTGAATACACAACCGTAGTTTTTGGATAAATGATCGTTGCATATCCCTCAGCATGTGTTCTCTTATGCTCAGAAAAGCATCCTTAATCATTTCCTTCATATTTTCCGGGGTAGATGGTGAATATCTATAAACATCTTGCTCAACGTAGCCCCACAGAAAGAAGTCCACCGGTGTCATATCTGGTGATCTAGGAGGCCAAGATATAGGCCCATTATGACCGATCCAACGATTGTTACTCCAGGTGTCCAAATAGTTACGCACACGATTATGATAATGACCAGGTGCGCCGTCATGTTGGAAGTACATATGCAACCGAGTTTGCAGGTTGACATCCGCCAAAAGCAAAAGCAAATGCTCGATCAAAAAATTCAAGTATTCGTATATTTATTGGAAATCTATTTGCCTAACCTAGTAAGGGTTTTCTGTCGCATAATAGTGCATGTTATGCATGTTGACAACACCTATGCTGTTAAAAGTTGCCTTATCGCTAAGAAGAACCTTATCCAGGAAAGTAGTGTCTTCACTCACTTTATTTAGCATTATTCTACTAAACTCCATTCAAGCTGCGAAATCCTGAGGACGAAGGTCCTGACGCAAGGTGATATGCATGATACCTATGCTTGTGAATAATCCTTTGGACAGAAGTTCTGCATATATCTGCTCCAATTTGCACTTAAATGGAGATTTTCCTGCAACTTTAATAGAACCTCCAACTGTTTCGGCTCATCGGTGACACTTGGATTGTTTATACATTTTTTACTATATTCCACTGCTCCACTTTCCGGCCTTGGATGTCGCATATTAGGGAACCGTTGCTTATAAATGCGAGATTCTAGGAAACTATTTCTTTGTGCTTCGCCCAAAACGAACACCATATTCACCATTTCTTATTTAGAAAAATTCATTTTCAAACACGTTTTTATTGTAATGCTCTCAAAGCTAATTTTGACAGTTTGTAACTAATCAACAATTTATTTGTTTCCAAGGATGATGCGATGTTTTAGGGTTAGTTTTTCCATTGGCTAGTAGACCGTGTCTACGACAACGCCACAATCGGCGTCATCTAGCGGCCACTGTAGTGACCCGGCTGGCAATGCGAACTGACCTACAGTACCAACAGATAGTTTGCTGTTTTCAGTTTCGTGGTGGTTGATTCTGGTAATAGATGCACCTTATTCCGATATATTTTCAGCTGTATAGGCGATTTTACAAAAAACATCCATAATTATGAGTATATGGTTTTAGCAAAAATTTTTGATCAGTTGGTACATGAAAAGCTTTCCTGTTATTTATCAAGATTTATTATTACAAATCAACATGGCCTCATGAAGAATAAATCAACTATTACTCATTTAAGTTTATATACAGAAGATTTAGTTGATGCAATGAGCAATGGATTAGCGACTGATGCTATTTATACAGACTTTTCTAGTGCCTTTGATGTAGTTAACGTTTCTTTGCTTCTAAATAAGCTTGAGGCTTACGGTATCAATGGTGCATTGTGGAAATGGTTAGAGTCTTATTTGACTGATAGAAAACAGTATTTCAAAATCGATAATCATATATCATATGTCATTGACGTAACATCAGGAGTTGGTCAAGGTTCTCACTTGGGACCATTGCTATTTCTTGTTTTCATAAATGATATCAAATCTTGCATACGTCATTGTAAATTTTTGTTGTTTGCTGATGACTTAAAATTATATAAAGTAATTAGAGCTATTTATGATAGATACTTAGTGCAAATTGATATAAATTCGTTACCTATTTGGAGTATATTAAACGGCATACCTTTTAACATCAAAAAGTGTTATTTTATTACTTTTGGTAAATGTAACTTACAAGTTGTTGATTATAACTTTGACAACGTTGGGTTAGAAGCGTTAGACTCTGTAAAAGATCTTGGTATCATTTTTGATTCTAAATTATCGTTTAATTATCATATTGAACACATTAGAAATTCGGCAAAAAAAAATAATTTTTAAAGAGATTTACAAGAGATTTTAAAAGTATTAGCACCTTCAGAACTGTGTACTATTCTTTTGTATATCCAATTCTAAGCCATGGTTCCGTAGTTTGGAATCCTTATCTTAAATATCAAATAGATTCTCTTGAAAGAGCCAATCATGCCTTTTTAAGATATGTTGCATACAGAACTGGTATGCCAAGGAATTTTACCGATTACAACTACACAAATATTTCAAACAAAATTATGATTCCAACGCTTGAAAGTGCTAGGAACAGGATTGATGTTTTATTTGCTTATAATTTATTTAATAACATTATTGATAATTTCAGTTTATTGTCAAAATTCAGATTTTATGTGCCACCAAGAATGTTAAGACGTAATAATGTTTATTTTCATGTTATGCCACCTAAATCAGATCTGATAAATAATTCTCCTGTTTTTAGATTATCTAAACTATGTAATGAACACAGTAGTTGGCTTGATTTGTATAATTCGAGTAATTATATTGTTAGAAATTTATCAAAGTCTATGTTTACATTTGAGTAGTCTTTTGATTTTGTAATATTTGAATTTATGATTACTAGATTATTGCATTTCCTCATTTGAACATCTGTATTAAATTTCGCAGATGATTATGTTAATCTCAGTTGATTGCCTTATATACTATTATATGTTACTGTTACCACATATGTAGCGCCACTTATGCGATGTTTTCGGTGCATTTTTCTATTTATAATACACATGTATAATGGGTTCGCCCGTAAGTTGAATAAATAAGGCCCGTATCGTCAGTCGTCCCTACAATTGTAGGGCGCCTTTATGGCCTCCTTGATTGTCATAGATTTCTGCTTCTCCGTGTCAGAACTCTATTTTGAGGTTATGTCACAAACATCTATTTGCATCAAATTGTGCTTGCTTTTGAGTTATATCATGTTTTATCAGCCTGAAATTTCCTACAATTTAAAAAGAAAACATATCTTCACAATAGGAGAGCGCTGGCGCTGACACGGGACAAGTGTAATCTAGAAATTTTTGAAGGAGAGAAAGGAGCATGACAATCAAGGAGGCCATAAACGCGCCCTACAATTGTAGGGACGACTGACGATACGGGCCTAAATAAATAAATAAATAAATATTTCGAAGATATTGAAAATACAGACATAATTTTCAATGACCGCGTATCCAAAATATATTTTGAAGGATTATTTAAAAAATCACTCGGTCAATTTAGATTGATGTGATTACGCTTATGTCCACCAATTCACTGTTTGCAGAAACGAGGGTACAATGATACAAGTAATCATATCCTTGTTTGTTGCAGGAATATTAGAAAAATAGATCTACGAAAATGGAACGAAACGAATACAAAGAGGTGAAAATTATGCGGTCTGGTTCACCCATTCGAAATACGTACAGCTCTAATCAGAATTTAGCTCAGTTCGATAGTAACCTAGGTAAGTTTGAGCCTGGGTTTTGAAGAGATTTAAATCGGATTTAGAAAACAATAACACAACAAAAGACGGAAATCATAGTCAAATTCCTTGTTTTAGATTATTTGCTAGAAGATCTCCAGAACTCAGTATCCCGCCCTGGCAGCTCACTTGGCCATCATACGAATTCTTTAAACAGACTAACAAAATCTGCGAACCCCCTTACGGAATACTCGTCAGACGATGCGTACACATACAAGGTAAGTCATTAGAAAATTATAATACTGAAGCTGAATTTGAAGTATGTTCTCATTCCTTGTATCTTTTTGACTAAATTGCGACATTAAAATATACTCAAATCTCATTTACTCCTCGTCAAAACAAGGATGAAAATTCTATCGTCGTATTGTTCACTTGTCGCTGCCTGTTGAGGCATTTATGTGACACGCTAGCCAATAGAAATGCGCGAATTTGAACGTCGAGCGCTGTTTGTTTTAACAAGGCCTAAAGAGATTTGAATACACAGTAGGTGCGTTCTTTTATAAAGCTTTCGAATTCAAAGCTAATAATTTATTTTGCAATAAATTTTGTTTATTTTCGAATGTAGCTTTTTAGGCAGTGAAGTGATTCAATATGATTTCAGAGTCCTGATGGCAGGGAAAAGGTCCATAGTTACAAGAAAGAAAAATACATCTATGGTAAAACGACGAGCGACAGTGGATATTCAGATGCAAGCAGGACACAAAACAGCATCAACCAGCTAGATACCCTGTTGAACGATCTGCAACAAGTGAAAAAGTCTGAGTTTTCAGGTAAATACCTCAAGGGCTTGAACTTATCCTGAAACATCGTTTTCACTATTTAAAGTCTAAATTATTAGTTTCACACTAATTTATTACAACACCAGCGACAAATGGCGACTGGACTATAGTATTCCGCATTGTTGACTGTCAGATGACTCTCCGCCAGCCTCTGCCCTCTGAGCGTGTATTTATCTTCAAATCGACGAGTCCAGGAGCGTTCTCGCCCTTTCCAGATGGAACTTGAGTATTCATCGAGGCCTGGTAGATGGCGGTAGATATTCCTCGATACTCAAAGTTTTAGTCACCGGGGCATTAGATTATAATTTAGAAATCGAAAAGGTTATATCTTCGGAGTGGATTGAGATGTTAACTCGAAATTTTGTTCATGTAGTACTGATATTATAACCAATTATACAAAAAAAAAATGTTATGCTTGGGTCTTGGGAACTTTTTAACCCTACAGAACAAAAAAGAAAATTATTTTCTAACGCACTGACTTTCTTGAAACATCTATCGCATTTTTGGATAAGGTATTCAATTTTACACGAATTACTTCTTTGGAGCATTGGTTCGGATATTTTAGGTAACATTTGCGCTTAAAGCCTCAATCCCTTCTTCTTTGAAAATGCACTCAAGTTAGCGAAGTTTGACATTGAAAATTGTGTGCAGAGTATCAGGAGAATAACTCAACATTGCGTTATTTGAACAATGATCATGTTTTTTCTTTATTCAGTCTCATCGGTGACGTAGAAATATACAACGCCCTGCACCTTGATGGTAATTATGTATTTTGGGACGTATTTTTATACCAAGTGTTTTTACTATTTTTCGATGTACTTTCTACCATATATATATTGACACGTTTTTCTGAATCACTCTGAATACATACTGACATGATCTGAGAGTTGGATTAGCGATATGGTGGCTTAACAAAAAAATAAAGGTACGATATGAAATGTTCGCCGGTACGTTACTTACTTTGTATCAATTTCACGGTTTATTTCAGAGACTTTCAACGCCCATTCGCTGGAACCAAGACAAACTTCAAGAACTTTAGAACGCATGGAGCACCACGAACGTAAGGAACACAGAGAGGACTCCCTCAATCGAAGAAACTACGAGTATAGAGAAGAAAGTACGTAGAATTTATTTCATATAAGTATGAATTCAAATATCTATATTTACCCTGTTGAATTGGATATCTTTTTAGTGAACTTGAGAAGGTGTTAGCCACTCCGAAATTTATTATTTCCTTTTATCTCCTATAAAGAATATATCATTGCTGTAGGCGACCACCTTTATCTCCAAGCGGGAATGTTTCTCTGTCTTTATGTACAGATCTCAGAAAACAGAAGCTACATTTCTTTTTATTGTCAATTGACTCAATATCTGTTGGATTTCTGATTCCACTTTATCAGCTATTACTTTCAATTTTTGCTACCAGGCTTTCTTAAGCTTCGTTTGATGATGTCTTGCAACACTGATACTCTTTGGGAATCTTTCAGTCGAGAATATTGAAATGCGTAATTAGGAGCATCCTTTTTGTCAGTACAATAGGAAACAGTGTTTGTTCTTTCTTTTCCATCTGTTGTAGGAGTTTTACAATCTATGATGTTAGGAAACGAGCAGATTTTGTTCTTCAATATCAGAAGTCAGTCGACGACTAATCTTGACCCACTTTATCTGTCATTTAATGAATAACCTCTTTAGCTTCTGTTGTTCGATAATGGTTCAATATTTGTTAAATTGCTTGAAATAACATGTTTGTCTATTTATCTTTTTGAAAATAAAATTATCCTCGTAAAGGCGCCATGCACCGTCCAGTCTCGCCAGGTGCTCTTTCCAATGCATCTCGCACTTCCACGCTATCGAAGAAAACTGAAGTAAAGAATATTCACTCGTATCCGCTGGAAGTACGAGAAACGGTGGTACCAGACATCGAACCGGAAGTCCTGGCACACCTGGACCCTAAACTGAGACCTCCCGGAAACACCAAGGTGACCACCACCATCAAGACATATACCTACGAAATACCTGGATCTGGAGACTATCCCACCAACCTAAGCACTCAAACGCAGGAAGGTTAGAGATGGGAACGTTTTAGGCTCGCTGCTACCAAGCATGCGCATGTGCACATCATGAAGTTGTTGCATGCTGATCTTTGCTGTCGTTCTTTTTGTGTTTTTCGTTTTTCTGGTAGATTTAGATGAGCAAGGTGTTGGGAAAACTTCAGCGTCCTTCTGAGACGTGTTGATTTTTTATACCTCTTCCATTTATTATCTTTTGAGGTATTGAAATTAGCTCTCAAGGGATGTATTGAAATTATCTTGAAGCTGGGCGTCAGCCACGTATGTTCACCCTAGTTTTTAAAGAGTTGTGTCGATACCCGTATGTGGATATTGTATGTCTCACTGACTGCCAAGTGTGCTGTGTTATTCGTTTTATTGAAAACAAAAAATAGAGTGAAAATACTCGTATATAGCAACCTCTCAAAATTTCTTGACAACAGTAGATGTGCGGGAAATATTACATATCGTTATTTATTCTTCATTAATATCCACTTGATACAAATTTGTACATACTGTGAAAAAATGTAATACAAAACAACAGAGGTTATAAAAATGTAACAATTCACATCAATTAATGAATAACTATTGATACCATCCTTACATACTCGAGTGCAAGTTCGTACATCCCAAGTACAGTGTAAAATGAATTGTTCAACAATAATTTCTTAACTTCATTTTTGGATGAAATATAATTACTAATTTGTTGAATTTTATCTAGTAATTGGATGAATAATAAGACTTAGTTGGAATAGGATATTCTTGTCACTGTCAACCAAAAATAACAAAACAAGTTTTTATCGCTGTTACTGTGGATACGGCAGGGAATTACTCTTATTTGTAGAGATATGCATGTTAGTGGGCTTGTGTTCAAGTAATTATTAAATATACCACAATTTTGTAGTAGGTAAAGGTATTGACTTTATATTCTAGGGTTATAAAGTACTCGTCAGGAGCTTCAAAATGATGTGTCACAAGACAAAATCAAAGGGGGACATTAAAGAAAAGCACTGTATATGCACTAGAGCTTTTTCGTTTAGAAAATCTCTTACCTGCAGAATAGCAAAATATGCTTTACTTAAATTTTTACAAATATGATCAATGAGTTGCTGAAAATTTAGTCTGCTTTCAGAATATGTGCCGAGTGGCCAGTTCTATATTAATTATGCGATGGATATTAAAATTTACTACAATATTCTTGCTTGAATTTATAATTAGCCGGTTTCTTTGGCACCTGGTTCTAAATTTATCTAATTTAAAATTCGTTGAATTTTGAATGACTTACATGTAAGTTGAATAGCAGTGGTCCCAATACAGATCCCTGAGGGACACCTTGCTCAACGGGATACACGTCGGATGCTGTAGAAAATTCACTTTAAATTGTGTATCCCCCATGTATGAGATCAGAGAATTCTAAAAGAAACTTCTTATACCCATAATGTTTAACTCAATATATTTTTATCTATAGCCTCAAATGTCTTAGATAGATCGAAAAGCAAACAGCCGCCATTATCAAGGTACGCGTTTTCTATGGTTGGTATTTCCGAAATTCTGATGAATTTTTAAAGAATAGTCTTTCAGATTCCACCAGCGCCTATCACAAAGGTTTTTGGTCTATTGTGTGATTAATAATATGAAAGCGAGTCTTCTAACTTCTATACTACTATTTATATTTATTTTTGTACTTCCAGCTAGTTATGTTCAAAAGTACCGTATAACTGATGCTACTGTACCAAATCGAGCTTAGAGCCCATTTATGCACGCAATTTGTGTCATGCTATTTAAAACGCATGACTAGATGTGGTGGGACACTAATCGCTTGTTTAAATAGGCTATACAATTGCTATCACATCTGTCTTTGTTAAGTAGTTGCAGCCACTTTAATGCAAAGCAACAACTTTGCCGTACTTTTATCTTTAGAAAATAACTGAAGTAACGAGAACTGTGTAGCTATATCTATTTCAATGTAAAAAAAAGGCCTACTGTATCAGTTTGAACATAACTATCATTAATTATATACCTACTCTATATATCTTTATGCACCGCATATACTTCCAAATCGCACCATATACTCGTAGCATGAATATGTTATTATAGAATGAGTTTTGTTGTGTAGATTGCACCCAGCCTTTCCTTCTCGCTATTGTCACTCATTTTCTAGCTTTCTAATTCTAAGGTATTAAATATGTGATTGAATATTGCAGATACCTCCCACGTCTACTCGCCGAACACGTCGATAACAACACCCAGCAAGAGTTTTGTTTACAACAAGGTGGAAAACAAGGAAAATACCACCACCTACAGGTCGCCAACACCAACTTATAAACTGAGGAAAGACGAATATTATGAAGAGAAAACTGTCACTGATAACTACAGGTAAGCAATTTATGCATATGATCCCAACATTGTATTTTCGAGTTATGACTTCAAAACTTTGTATCTCTGTTTTTCTCTTTATACTATGGAAATATCTCATCATGTTGCAAATTAAACTAGAGAAAATGAGAGACCCTATGTATTTCTTAAAATGAATGGGACAACAATAAAAGCTTCTTAAGGCATTATGGCGGGAAAATTGTTTGAACTTTCTGTTCCATGGTCGACTACTTATTCTACCCCTTGATTTCTTCGTGATGACGTTATCACATTGACTATTTTTTTTTTTATTTTTCCACAGACCATATGAAAAGCCTGCACCTCCAGGAGGTGTCGTGGTGAAGGAAACAATTACCACCACGAACTATCAGCCAGGATATAGTCCGGAACTGAATCCACCAACTAGAGGACAAACATACATGTACAATGAAACAACAACCACGAAGAATGTTGAAAACGGTGAGTATTTACATCCAAATCAATCACCTTATACTAAAAACTCAAAATAACCGACTAAGGCAAATATGTTGATAAAATAAAAACGTCTCAAAAAATACATGGACTTGAAATCGGCGATCTAAATAACCATAGTCATTTGTAGGTTTGAGGAATCGTTTTTTGGATTTTTCTTGATTAAATTTCTGTGCCTGGTAAATGTTAGTGAATTTATAGAAACTCGAATAAAATTATTATATTTACGAGAAAAAAATTAATTTAAAAAATAGGACATAGTATCTTGAAAATGAAGCATTGCTGAGCTTAGTTCATACAGGGTGCGGCAGAGAGGACGAACCTTTTTGGGAAAAAATAACTATTTTATGATTTTTTTAAAACCGTCCATCCTCTCTGCCGCACCCTGTATAAACCTTTTTTCTTAGCATTGCCCAGAAGTAATCATCTCACAAAGTTGGCTTTTATCCAGGCACTTTATTAAAACACTTTGTATTACATTGTTTCATAACGCATCCTGTATATAATGTTTATATTTAGGATATCCACCAGCTTCTACGCCAAGGAAGGACGTGTATATGTTGAAGGAAAGTTCCACCTCTACTAAAAACGAGCATTATGCTCCACCTCCCACTACTAACAGAGAAACTTACATCCTGAAGGAGTCTCACAATACTAGCACTGTAAATAGGAACGAACCATCGAACTTACCGTACTCAGAACGTGGATACCCTGTATATAATCCACCGGAAGGCAGAGGTAAAATTAACATTCTAATAGATTGTTCAAAAATTTTCGAAATACAGAAACTTTCAATAAGCTCTTTCGATACTCTAAAAAGATGCTTTACTGTATGTTGAATCGGTTGTTAGCTTTTTTGGACAGTTTTGGGCATGTTTGGATTGTTGACCTCCATTTCGAGGTGCTTTTTCCGATTTTTTATTTTGCTACCTCATATGTTTCAAAGTTGCGCCACTAATAGCGCTCTTTTTCGACATATTTTGACGTGTTCTGTCCGTATTTTATTTTGGTATCTCATATGTCGGAAAAACAAATTTATATTTAAGTTAATCCATAATCATACAAAAAACTATAATTAGCAACTTTTACCTTCCTTATTACATATACGAGCATATCTGTTTTCTTCATGTAATTTGACAGAAAACAGATATTACCCAAAAACTGGTTTAAGTGTTATTTTCAGAAAACGGAATATGACAGTAGGAGTAAAAAAGATAGGATGTGGTAAATTAAAAGTCAGGGAGACCACTTTGACATCTATGCCATTTTCTCAAAACTTCTCTAATTCTAAAAACTTTGGAAACTACTGTTGTTGACAGTTTTGTATACTTATTTTGAAAATGTTTGAAGTTTCAAGGGGATTAATGTGTTCATGGACTTCAAAAGACAACATTTTATAGGGTAAAGTTGTGTAAATTGAACCATTTGGCAATTTTTAACATTTGAATTTATTGATAATTTGATATAAGATTATTTCACATGTTTCTATCAAAATAGATAACAAAAAACTTATGCAAATATTTTCAGTTTAGAATAAGATTTAAAAAAAAATCTAATAGTAAAATCAATCAAACCGGTTAGTAAAGTTTGTTGTTTACCAGAAAGCATTATATTTTCATTGTTAGTGGAACATATGGTATATGAAAACGAAATATCGTGATGCATTGGACGTTTTGTTTAGCATTTACACATAGAGATCATAAGTATTACCCTAACAAATTACTTTGTAACAAGAATGGATAGTACTGTTGGCGCCATCTGTTGAGACCGCGCCAGACTCTCTCCAGATCTCTGTTTATACGCGGATCGCGACCGCACATGCCGCTTGACGACATCTGTTGAGGACGGTGCCAGTGACTCGCTTTCTAGATCGACGCGAAGTGACCTCGACGATTCTGGAATGTCGCTATGTGGCTCACCGGAATCTTCTCGAACCAACGATGCGGACTATATAACTCGACGGTCGGGAGAGCGAAGCAGAGTACAGTAGAGCAGAGTGGAGTATAGTTCAGTCAACGGCGCGACATAAGAATTAGTCAGACATAAATAGTGGTGTAGATAAATGTTCTATCTAGTCAAGATAAATAAATTAGTGCATTCCTTTTTGTGGAATCGGGTGTTTTAATCCACACCCAGAAAAACGATACAATTTTAAGATATCAGTACAAATCGAAAAGTTTTATTCATAGAAGTTGAACATAAGATTTACCGATTTGGAGGCACATTGTCAAAACAAAAACATAACTGACAATATTTATTTAATCTAGGCACAAAAATCACATATTCTAGTCAACTATGGACTAAGCACAGCTTTCGTGCATCCAATTTGTGATATTCCGGTATAATTTAACAAACATTGCCAAACCGGTAGGTGTTTTATTTCTTTTTTAACACCTGAAGTTAGGTAAAATTTAAGCAGCCTAAGGCCTCGTAAAATAGGCAATCATTAAAGAAATTGCCATGTCAAATATATTTTGGCGCCATGAGGCATCAAACAGGCTATCTATATGACGTTAGAAATGTATTGAAGTGATACAATTGTAAAACCAATACAGTATAGCCGAGTTTTCATTTCTCCAAATCCCTATATTTATACACGTACATTTATAGAAAAGCTACTAATCCAAGTAACATGGCGCAATTTTCGTTTGTAAAAAGCATGCGATGGTATAGCGCGTATCGGCAATTTCAGGCACCCCAGGAAGCACCACTTACATAATGAAGGAAACGCATGACACTACTAATAGGGTGGTTCAACCGCCCCCACAAGAAAAAACCGTAATGTACAAACATGAATCACATACGACTAATCACACTTATGGTCCTGGGGATAAACGTCCTAAGAGTCCTGAAGAGCAGTTTGATATTAACAGATATGGTAAGATGGCGTGCCAGCTTGTGCCTTTGTTTATCTGCGACGCTGTTCGAGGCTTAAAGATATCGGAGTTAGCACATTGGACACGAAAATCGTAAAAGCACAGTCAAATGTCGCTCCTGAATGTTTTCCAATCTTTTAGAAATACCCCATACACACATTTTAATTATTGTTGCTGTTTGCTGTGGTCTACTGAAACGTGTACACAAACGGTTCAATATGGTTGTCATTCCTTCTCTCAGGTCGACCAAATGAGCCAATCAACATCAACTATTCGTACAAATCTACGGAAAGCTCCAAGAACGTTTGGAAGGGCGAAGATTCACAACCCCTTTTGCAACCTCACAGGTTCCCTACTGATGAGCGTGTGGATGGACCTCCAAAGAAGCTTGATGAACTTATGGCTACCATCGGAAACGAGGTTTGTATGTCTTTCTACCAGGAACTCTTCACAATAATGTGAAAATGGCGATTCCGTGGGAAATATGTTTTTAGAACATTTTTTAGGTAGGTACTGTTGCGTCTTGTAGAACTTCGAATTTCGCTGTTTTTTCACTTGAACCTTAAAGAGGGTAGACCGATAGATTATTTTAAATGAAAAAAGTTTGAATGAAGCACGCTTGTCTAGAACATTTTTTCCCAAAACACCGGCCATATAATGTTGTCGTCTGTGCGTATGTCATGTAAGAGAGGCGCTTGCCTGCGGTGTTGCCGGATTGGGCTCCGCATTTAGGGAAAAATATGAAAAGTGGAAAATTTATAATACGTATATATTAATTAATAAAACACAAAAACGATTCTTAATAAGTATAAAACAAAAAATAACGATAGTAAGCTAAAAAACAATAAATTGTCAATACTTATAAAAAATAAAAAGTAGTAAAACAAAAAAACTATTCCATGTAATTATAAAAACCAACTAACAAACAGTAAAATAAAAAGCAATTTTTTTATAATTACATGGAAACGTTTTTCATTTTACTACTGTTTTTACTTTTTGATTTTTGTTATCAGTAAGAATAGCTTTCTATTTTACTGTTTGTTATTTTTTGTTTTTTATAATTACTTGGTATTGTTTTTTTTGCTTTACCACTGTTTTTATTTTTTGTTTTTTATAATTATTTACAATTTATTGTGTGTTAGCTTACTACTTTTATTTTTTGTTTTATACTTATTAAGAACCGCTTTTTATTTTGCTAGTGTTGTTTGTTTCAGTTTTTCCTTTTTGTGTTTCATTGATTAATATAAATGTACATATATAGATTTTCCACTTTTCATTTTCCCTAAATGCCCAATCCGGCAACACCGCAGGCGAGCGCCTCTCATATATGACATATGCACAGACGTCAACGTCGTCATATGGCAGATGGCGGTGAGAATAATGGTAGAAATGACTGCTAAAAATACGTCTTTTGGGAAAAAATGCATGAAAAGCGTACTTCATCCACACTTTTTTTTATTTAAAATACTCTATCAGACTACCCTCTAGAAGTTTCAAGTGAAAAACAGTGAAATCCGAACTTCAACAAGACGCAAAAGTACCAAAATATTAACCGGTACCGAACAAGATTTCCAGAAACTTGAAAAGTCTCTTTTAATTTTTGCATCCATACAAGGCTGAGCAAGAAAAACACATCGCACACAATTTCGTCGATGTGCTGTCTGTCCGGTAAAATTCCCAGGCCTTCTTCGAAGTTGTACACACTTTATAGAATAAGCAAATATTCAAAAAATAAAGCACTCACCACTTTGTATTACGGTTTCCACATATTCACTCGACACTGTTTGGTTGTACCGCGTAATCCGCCTTCCTTAAAAGTGCAAAGAAGTCACATAACACACTAAATCCACGTGTCATTAATACACTTTATCAGGTACAATAAAGGTTTCCTCATAAAGTCACTATAAATCGCTTTCTCGACGATTCCTTGGATGTCTAACGCGAAAAAAACCGTTAAAACAGTTGAATCCAGATACCGGCTGAACATCCGTTCCAGGAAATCTTTAACAACTATAGTCCAGTAAAATAAGTACGTCAGTTGGAAATCATTGAACCGGTCATTTCAAAATATGTCATATTTGATAAGAATGATGAGTAATGTGATTATGCACCTTGAAGATATTAAAAGATATAAAATTAATACATATTTTATGATTATATTATTTCATCAAGTCAAAATACCAACACATGGTTCAAACGGCAAGTCACAAAAAAGAATGAAGATGGAATGTGTGTTATTCGGAGATACATTCACAAAATACGTAAAAATCAAATGAAAAAATCGAAAAAACTTGTTGCGAAGTAATGTTGAAAATATATTACTTTGCATTGTGTTTTTTCGATTTTTTTTCACAGGAAAAAATTAGATCCCCCAATGGTATTCGATCAGACTATTTAGTGAGCGAGTAACAGATTATCTGATGTCCTAGGAGACCATAATTACTTGTTATCAGAGGTATTGTAATTTTTGGTAACAACAGCTGTCAAGTTTTTCCGCGGGTAACTCGAAAAGACTGCTGACAGGTGCTGTCATACAATTTTTCCATTTAGAAACCATTTGCAATTAAAAATTGCGCGTTTGTGATTGGTAGAAATTAAGACGAGGGAAATTTGACATTGGAATCAAAGACGTAATATTATACAAACTTTTATTTTTCAGCCGCCGACCAGTCCGTTGAATGTAGGTTTCGTAGCGCACGAAAAGGAAGTGGTGCATCAAAAGAAAATCGATACTTTGAAGCGACAAGCAGAAGAAGCGAACGACATGCAGAAAAAGGAAGTGCTACCAAGTAAAAACGTTTCTGGGCCACCTGTCTACTATCCACCTGGACATGAGATGTTTGCTAAGAAGGAAGAGAGTTCTGCTGGATGGAGAGCTCAGGTATGAATATAGATGCTGGGCGAGGAACTATTGTAATCGCGAGGAGGATTTTAAACTCCTACACGCTGCACTAGTGGTCTGTAGTTTGCGAACGAACTAATTCAGTCAACCAAATGTTATGATTAAATTAAGTGAACTAGTTCATTATTTCTTGAGAAACTCGTTCACTCGTTCACCACGAACGACTGGTATTACAGGGTCCCGATGATCGAATTGAACTAGTTGTGAGTAAACGAATGAGAACGAGGTAGGAGAAAGGAGGCGGAACAAAGCGTCAGCAGAAAATTGTACAACTGGTTGCCTGGAACTCATGGAAAAGTTGATAAACTCTGTTAGTTATAAAGGCTGAAAAAATAATAGTTAGCAAACTTTTATAAAAAAAGATCACGCATTGCGTTTCACGAAGAATTTAAACCAATACTAAAATGAAAATTGAAATTGTTAGAAAACGTGTATAGCTCATAGCTACATCCACTATGTGAGCGACAATCAACATGGATTATCTAAATTTGAAACATCTATCTTAACAAAAAAAAATAAATTAAATAACAATACGAGGTGTTCCGGAGCGGTTGCCTATCCAAATACTAACCGTGACAGCCGCTGTTTAACTCTGGCTATCTGATCAAAGATTGAGAAAATACCCTTTACTGACATATTATTCTTTTGTAAAAATAGTTCGTTCGGGAAATAATTCATTTGGTGAGCGCGACCGTTTGAAATAGTACACCGAAGTGGACTAGAAAGCACATGACTATTCTGCACCGGAATTTCTGTTTATTTACGATACCTATGTCACTCATTTTCGCAGTTTTGCTTACCTGTAATCACCTGGACAAAAAAGGCCAAATCCATTGCATCTCAACCTATGTTACTCATATCGCTCTGTTCCTAATAAATTGCTTCTTTTTTCAGGGAGAGTACGGAAAGGCATCAGGCAAATACGAATATGGAAGCGAAAGCAATAGCAAGACGAAAACGAAACAAGGAGCTGCTGTAATTCCTGTGTGTCTACCTCTATGCTGCGGTCTACCTTGTACATTGCTCTAACTTTTTGCCCCTATCTCTACCTGTATATTTGTTAACATATTTATGAATAGCTGTTGTAAATCGACATACTCATATACGGAAACGATTGTAGAATAAACCGGTTGTTCAATATCAATGCTGCTGTCTGTATAAGTTTTTATATCTTTTGAAGAAGACAACTAATCTATTTAAGTTTGTTGTACCATATGAAGTAACATTCTCTATGATCAATTTTACGAGCGAATTGTCCACTTATTCTTACTTTTGTTTATGTCAATATACTTATTTCTATAATAATGAGAATTAATTTATATGTTCACAAATAGGCCTACAACAAAATTTTACGTATTTCGTTGTAAAGAAATTAAGATAAAGTGAATATTTGTGCCACACATATGTTAAGCTCCGGTAACAGTAGTATGTATATTATTTTATCTTATTATATTACTTATCATTGCCGCAAAGTTATTTGGTGCATCCGCAAAAAATAACAAAATATAAAATAATATGTTGTGTTTAATGTTTTTAATCATCTTACAATTGAAATAATCTCTGGGTGCTGACTTCTTTGAAAATATTAAACTGAATGTGTAAAAAATATATTTTTTATATCCAAAACTAAGTGGAATCAGTATAACTTACAATTTTAGAAATAACAGTACAAGAAATATCTCTTGACACGTTGGAAAAGTTGCGTGAAATGTATCGTTGTAGATTTTGTTTTTGGTATACACAGCTTTAAATACTTTGTTTTTAGGGGTACCTATACCTATACAGAATGATCCAGAAATAATTAAGTAATGGATATTTGTCACCATGCGGTTATAACAATGTTCTGAATCACTGTGTATAAAAGCAGGTACATATATTTAATGCACATGAGTTTTAGTGATCCATGCATGAGATTTTCTTGCCTGTATAAATTAATTTATTACTTAAAACTATAAATATATTCTTGATAAAATTATGCACTTTTATTTATTCCTGTTCATTTTTTTCAGTCTTTAGAAGCTGAGGATTACAAACTTGAACTGATGACATTTTCATGATTTGTATAGAACATTACTATGGACTCGTCTTAATTTCTACCAATCAGAAACGCGCAATTTTGAATTACAATTTTTTTTTAGAATTACAAATGGTTTATAGATGGAAAAATTGTATGACAGAAGTTTTTTCGAGTTCACCCGCGGCAAAACAGCTGTTGTCACTAAACATTACAATACCTTTGATAACAAGTAATTATGGTCTCCTAGGACACCAGAAAACAACGCTAAACAATATTTCTGATTCTACTGTCAACAAATTTTGAAGTCTTGTCAAATACCATTCGGGCATCTCCTTTTTTCCTGTAAAAAAAACGAAAAAACGCAATGCAAAGTAATATTTTTTTAATAAAAACATTCGTGCAGGTGCAAAAATCCTCGGATTTTTGTTGCCACCAGCACTCATGCTTCTTGTTAAGATATTATACTTAGCAACATGTTTTTTTCGATTTTTTTCGGAAAAATTAGAAGCCCTTATGATATTACTTATGAAAACGTATACGTCAAGATTTCATTGACTTATTTCTTGTTTCGATTTTTTTTCGTCACTATTAATTTCAACGCACCAGCTCCCTGCAGGCTATATCTTTAATTTTGAAACACTCTGTACACGAATTGGTGCACTAATCTGTGCCATTACGGCACTGTCTAGAGACCGTTCGCCAATCAAAACAAGTCACCATTCTTTAGAATCAAATCCAAGCGGATAACCAAAATTTCCGTATTATGTACCGCGGTTATAATATGGTTCAAGATGACACACGGGATGGTGACGTCAGTTACTCGAATCGCTTGAACGCGTTGGTTTTAACCGCGGTTTGTTGCAAGATGTTTATTTTAGAAAAGCGCGTATATAATTTCTGATTATTTTTATTATCACTTAATAATCGGTGCTTTTTCGTCTACAACGGGGTATGGAAAGTTGAAAAAAGAAAACTTTCATAATATTAATGGGAGGAATGTTTTTTTTTCCGAAAAAAATTTTTACTGATGGAACCATGGCTTTGTAGCTATGATAACTTTCAATTCTCTAAACTTTTCCGCATGTCAAAGAAAATATTTATTGATTTAGCAAAAATGATGAAAAAGCGATGAAAAAAGATATTAACAAAACCGTATACAGGTGGACATCATCCAGTGAGTTTATACGGCCATATTTTAATATTCTTTTGGTATATGGCTAGACAGGATACTTTTTTAAGTGTAGGAACTAGATTTAAAGTGTCTCCAACAACAGTGATGATTATAAATAATGCTAAAACTGAAGTCAGCCTGTATCAAGTTTCCCAAAAATGAAGCTGAAGTACAATAAAAATATCCAATACCCGGCAAAATTCTAACTTGTCACATGTCAAATAATAACCAGAAATATAAAACTACTCCGGAGTTGGGTAAATACCACAATTTTGCGGTGATAACTATGACATATAACAGCTGATTCATGACGTCACGGATCTTATAACCAAACTGATAACCACACTCGCTTGAACGGATCGGTAAATACCAATCCAAAATGGTAAATACCATTTCCATTTGGTTATCCGCTTGAATTTGATTCATGTCTTGTTCTATCTTCTATCATACAATGTCACAAATGTCAGTGTCAATCACGTGTCACATTCTTTGAGATTAAAAGTTTGGTTATGAGTTAGTTGTGTGATTTGGAGTGAAGAATTTTATTTATAAATGACAACAAATCCGTTCAAAACAGCAAAATGGGATGGGGACACGGCCAAAAGCGAAACATATGTAGAAATGTTGAAGGTAAGTATTTTTTTATTGTCTTTTTTAGGTGGTACATTGATCTAACACAAGTGCACCTTTCAGACTTCCTTATCAAATTACAGTTGTTTTAAAATTTTAACATGATACAAAATAATAGTTCTGGAGAATTCCAGGTTCACAAATAGTTACAAAAGATAGTATATAATTCTAAATTCCTCTGTTTTCTCCTTTACTGATAAAATGGAAAACACTGTTTTGACTTCTTAGTCTTGTTTGTACAGTATGTTCCTCAAATTAAATTCGTGTTTTTGGAGCAGCCTAGCATAAAAAAGGATGTCAACATAACATTGCTGAGTACAAGATGTCCTAAAATAAGACGCCAATCTCTCAGATTCTTATAGGAGATTGTGAGTAAGTGAAAATTTGACGATAGTCTCCTACCAAAGGTTTGCCAAAATAGTTTTTATACTCATCCTGTACAATGAGCAGATTCCTACATTTCTGGCTCATAACTGCTTATTGTTCTGTCCTATGCACAGATAGATGTTACACCACCATCACAGTCGACCCATCAAGGAGTCTGAATAGTAAGTGTTCACAGAGCAAACAGCAATGGCTTTCCATAGATATATGCATAAATAGACAGACCAAAATGAACATGTTTGCTTTCCATATCTGTAACCAAGACCAACCACAAGCTATTGCCGGGTTGCTCTGTGAATATGAAGTAATAAGACTCCCTGTCATTTTCATTGTATGGCATCAGGATAAAATCAGCCTAGCAAACCATTGATAGCTGGCTGCCAGCATATTTACACTTACTTGTCTACAATATTTTGAGTTTTTCAATCCCTTGCACTTCTGATTTGTTTCAATATCACCTCTGTAGATTTAAACTGCAGAAATTCAACAGAAAATTCAACAAAACCCCAAAAATTGAGTAGCTGCTAGAAAATTTGTATATTCTGGGATTTTTCCAGATCACTTATTACAAATCTATTATTTCAAGTAGCATCATTATACTGGAGTTTTTCTCAAACACAGCACATCCTACCATTGCCAAACAAGAGTAGGTCTTTTTAGCTTGAAAGAGGTTAGCAGTATTGCATAGTTCTGTGAAATTACCCGATGTTTTTCAAAAATGACTCAAGATAGACTGATTTCCAGTAGGCTCACTCACGAGGTTGTATCTCCATTTGGGGTCTGTATGAGAATTTCTTGTATAGGAACTGGTGGCACTAATTGTTGTCTTCTTTGTGCATCTGAGAATTGCCATTTTATTACTCTGAAACATTGGTACTAAAATATTAAAAAAAAGTAATGCAAAATGGAAACCAAACCACATTCATACCAGGACAATTTACAAATATAATTGAGCAATTGGTAAACTCAGAGCACATTTTTTTGAGAACACATTCTTGGTTGAAAAAGAATTCATCTGAATCAGAAAAACTATGACAAATTAGAAAACACTATATAAAAGCATAACACTTTATTGCAAAGAAAGTTACATAAGGTAATCAAAATACTTCTTGATAGACTGTTGGGGCCTCTTTGTTGGTGGTAGTTCCTGCTTCTCATAATAATCTCTTTGTCTGTTTCTGAACTCTGCCAATGGATCAGGGAATTGCTTGTAGTACTTCAACACTTCTCTCACATCTTCTATCTCAGTCATTGCTATGGTCTTTAAGAATGATGTAAGATCTACCAAGGCCATATCTTCGTCATTTCCTGTCCACCTTGATATGTTCAGACGATTGTCAGGGTGGAACTTCACAGATTCTTCATTCCAGTCTACCACCACCACCTTGTTCAGATCCCTGTGGATTAGATACATTTTAATGCCTCTTTCTAGAGCTTTACGTCACTAAACTCAGATATTTTTGCCAAAGGGAAACTGATCATATATATATATGCATTTTCAAAACATGTCAGAAATAGCATTTTCTTCAAGAGCTGTTAACATTTGTTTTTTTAGTGAGAACATACAGGAGATAGCTCTTAGAGTGAATGGGAATGAGGCCATAAATAATACAATGTCTAAATGTGAATACGAGTGCCGTTCTGTTGCCAGATTTGGTTGTCCATAGGTTAAAGCTATTGATTCTTGATAGGCAGGCGTCATTTGTAACCACCTTTTGATATTGCACTTAAGGGTAACTAGCTTTCTAAACTAATATTCTTGACAATGAATCACACGCATCTCCACAAAATGTTGTGTTATATACTTAATGGTTATCTACTGTAATTAGTAGTATAAACTATCATCTCTTCCAAAAACCGTACTTATTTATTTTTTGTCTAGACTGAGTTGTTAACTGATTTCAACAATGCATAACATGTCATGAATTGATATCTCTCCACCACAATTATAATAAAAACTATTATTGCCTTTTCTGTTGTCTAAATTTACTAGATCATGGAAAGATAATGCAGATTGCCCCAATCACTTGGCTGTTATAGTTTTAAATTTGGTCGGATTATTCCGCTGGTGATCCTTAAATAAAATATAGTAATTTTTATTCATTTATTTATTCACGGAATAAGCCCAGTTTTACAAAAATGTCCAATATTATATAAAAGTAAGAGACTAAGTTATCGCAATACAACAAAGTGCTGACACAATGGCTATAAAATTGGTACATACACATTAAAATATTTCTGAGCAAAGTAAAGTGACACAAAATAAGGATAAGTGTCAAATTCTCTGAATTTGCATCAACGACTTATGAAATATAGAAAATATTATGGAACTTATTTGCATTTTAGCATACATATTGAATGGTCATACAAGTTCAAATGATTTCTAGTCTCTTAAGATCATATCCAGGAGCTCGGGACTATCGGTTAGTCCATTAACAACTTTATGACATACATAAATGCCAATGTTTTCTGAATGCAATCTCTAGGGATATACTTTTTAAAGGCTATATATTTTATAAATTATGCTTGAATAAAATCTAATTTGTCAATATAGATTTGGTAGTAGTAATTTCAAACATTAGTAGATCTCCCTAAATGAGATCTGACTAGTATGTTTATAGCAATATGTGAAATTTCCAGTATTTCTTTTATTAGAGCCTAACATTCCAAAGCTTTATTGCAACAATTTTCTATGTGATGGTCAGCGAAGCTCTGAATGATTTATAAACCTCTATCAACTTTACATTAGACAAAATAACACTATCAATATAGTCATTATTAACAGCGTTTGGCGTCTTAGAAAACTGAATATACATACATTTGTTAATATTAACATACAGCTTATTTCCGTATGTATTATAAAATGAATCTAGTAATATCACTTTGCAATTTCACCACATCAATTACATCACAGATTTTGCCATATATTTGTAAATAATCAGTGTATAAATATAAATAAATAAACTAAATATAATATAAATTAGTAGTGTGTTGTAAATTTTTGTGTTATAGTTTTTATTCGAGGAGTTAAAGCCAACTAAATATATTTATTATTTTAAAGGAAGTTTGACCATATCAATGAATGACATGTTATACTGCAATTAAAATTATTCATCTATGCTCTAAGGTATGTCACCTGTTAAGCCTGTCAAGATTTTTGACATGATGTCCATCAACAAAGTGTGTTGAATCCCTCACTAGCTTATAGGAAATGAGATTCTTCTTATCAAGAGCATCAATTACTGGAAAAATTGTCATACCAGGCTCTGCAGTGAAAACTACGATTTCGTACAATCCAACCAGATTTTCCAACATGTAATCCAAAGCTGGTCGTTTCTTAAACCTCCAACCTATCAAAAAAATGGAGTCTGGGAGTAATCATTATAATTTTCAAATTCCGTGAGGTACATTTTAAATGAAACACACATTTTTCACGCGTAGGGCTTTAATATTAGATATTCCGGAGACTAGTCAGCCCAAATAACGTTCATCAACAATGGCATCAACAAAATAGAAGCATTTACGCATTGGTATATATATATATACTAGTTACGAGAAAGTACTACATGGGAAAATTCGACACACACACCACTCGCTGCACTCTTAGCATGTCATGCCATGCTCCTTCTCGACGGGCCGGAACCTTCGACATCGCACTTGTGACTCTGCTGAGGGTTCCCCGTTGGGCGGCGGTGGTGGAGGGGGCCCTTCGGAACTGTCGGGGCTGCTTTCGGGGGGCGCGTCGATCAGGCAGTTCGAAATACCGCGCACGCGCAAACCGCTGCTCGAATGCCTCTTGAACCGTAACTTCAATTGGCTGGGGTCAGTGACATACTTCTCGGTCTGACGACGCCTGCGCAGCCCTGGTGTCAGATCGCCGGACCAGGACATGCACTTTGCCAGCCGGTGCTGTTCTGTCTTCTGGTTGGCACCAACTGCCACTGGAATCTTGGAGATGGCCTTGCAGCCCCCACCTCCTCCTCCTCCATTGTTCGGCACCGGACTTGTGGAAGATTCTCGGAGTATTTGACTTTCATTATCAACCCCACTGTCTTCATCTTCTTGTTGTTTTTTCTCTTGCATCATGTCAATATCCTCCTTCTCTGTCAGTCTGCATACAAGCATTTCTTCGGTTCCCTGAGTTGGCTTTGTATCACTGACTCGCGTCTTCTCTACCCGTAGATCCTCTTCTTTTTGCTCATTTCCTGCTATGACGTCAGGTGCAAATGTTATATTTTCTCTTTTGGGACTAGGCGGCAAATGGTCTACATCTACATCTGCTTTTTCTTTACTGCTCTGCTTCAGTATACTTTTTGTTCTTTCAATCTTAGGTCTCTGAGGGGACTCCTTGGGCGTATTTTGTACTTGAATATCTACATGACCGTTATGCTTCAGTTCCTGGTTCTGAAGTTTCGGTGGGGAAGAGTTCTGCGGCTGTTCTTTGCTTGCTACTACTTCTTTTGGTACTACGCGTATTTCCAATCGTCCGGCGACTTCCTGGAGCCATTCATCTTCATCGCCTTCTTGTTCGACGTCTTCCTTCTCCTTTTCCACCTCCTTCTCGACTTCGTCAGGTATTCGTCCCTTGATACCATCACTAGCGGCCTGTTCTGCCATAAGAATAGGCATGGCAGGCAAACTGGTCCAATGGCCATCTCCCCCTCCTCTAATTCGCCTGTCACCATGTAGTACAGTACCTCCAGGTACGGCACCTTCAGAGTTCGTTCCAGTTTCTCCTTGATGTTTGCTTGCTACGTTACGCATCACGTCCACCTTGAACACCAGGTCGTCGAAGGCTGCTTGTTGAAGCAGGGGTGGTTTTAATCCAGCTCTAATCCGGGGTCCTAAGCAAGGCGTGGACCAGGCCCGTGGTAGACCTCCAACTAGCTCAGGGTAGTCTTCAATGCCAGCGATGTTGATGTACTTGCGGTGACTGGCGCGCGAGTCCTCCGAGATGCGACTGAGGACTGCGGGAGGAGGTACTGGCTCAGCAGGAGGCTCGGTGGTGGCTGCTGTGCGATGTAACTGCTCTTGGCTTTCGGGCTTCCAGTCATTATCTGTCGTTTCTTCGCTGTCATCAAATTGTGACTTCCACTGACTGGCTAGTGTAAGCGCTCCACCTTCTCGTGTCACCTGCTGACTGAAGTTCTCGTCATCCATCTGGGCGAATTGTGTGACACTCTGGTCCCTGAGTCCGGATCTGCTGCTTCGTGCCGTGGAGGGTTGTCTGCTTCGTCTGCCCCCTGATTGCGAATGGGCGGGCAGCTTCTCTTGATCCGGAGATTCGGCCCCACCAGTTCCTGTGTCTCCCCCTGTAGGGGTTGCTACCCGCAATCTGCCTAGGGTGGCAACGCCGGATTGTGACTTTCTGATCGGTATTGGTTTGCTGGCTGTTGCTGCGTCTGATGCTATCGATTTGGCGGCGGCATCATTGTCCAGCCTATCGGAAGATGGTGGTTGCTCCAAGTGTGATTTTGCCCGACGTTTTCTTTGCTGCTGGTGTTGCACACTTTGGTTATGGTGGGCCATGTTTTGATTGTTGCCTTGCGTCAGATCTGTAGCATTGCAGTTCTTGTCCACCGTAGCTCTTGGACCATTTGTATGTGTATCTGTGACTAGAGCAGTTGTATTTTCTGTCTCTTTGTGCCTGATGTCTAAAGGTATCTCCTTGTTATCAGTGGTAATGGGCTCGATGTTTTCTTGGTTATAGTCAGTGGCGATAGTAGTAGGTCGTAACTGAGTAGCGTTATGTCTGGGCAGGGTAGTGGGAGCAATGGTAGGTGGCTGACCAATGCCCACACCAGTTTGTGATGGAGGCTGCCCAGGTGTTGCACCATCTGTTGTTGTCACTGATGCCACCACAGCGGGTTTCTCCCAATCGTATGGGTCAGACTCTTTCACACCTCGTCGCTTCATGCATCGCTCGAATAGACTGATCAACATTTGGTAATCTGGTTTGTCAGCATACTCCAGGCTTTGTATGTGATCCAAGAACTGCTTTAAATCGGACGGCAAATGCTTTAATAATAATCTATGGTCATACTTTTCCTTCATAAGGCCTACTTGTTCCTTATCCTTTACTTTCCGCCATGGTAACTGGCCATTCACAAATTCTACTAGCATATAAAATAAACTCCAGAGATCATCATGTCTTCCCATTTCTCTATTTTTGTGTGCGTTGATACTTGCATAGCGCACTGTGCCTCTAAATCCTGCAGCAGCCCTGGGAGCTCTTACTTCACCAGTGGCAGTTGTGTACTGCCTTGCCAAGCCAAAATCTAACATATATACTTTTCTACAGTTATATGGCAGTCTACCCATAGAGAAATTACTAGGTTTAATATCACGGTGCAGAAATCCAACAGAGTGTATGCTCTCAATGGCCTTGAGTATTTGGAGGCCCAATCGCAGTGTTGTGGACAAACTGAAGGCTGCCCTAGGCTGAGCCCGCCTAAGTTCAGCTAGATTGCGGCCTTGCAATTGCATCACAACATAGTTGAATCTGTCATTTCTGCCACAGCCAATGAATCTGCATATGTGCTCTTTGCCTTGCAGTTTTTTCAACACAGCCACTTCCATTTTCAGTACTTGCTTGGGTTGTCTTGCGGATTCCACTTTCAGTGCAACCTGCTCCCTTGTCATGAGGTCTAACCCCTCGTAGATCTCTCCAAATCCACCTCCGCCAATTTTCTTGATCACCTTCCATCGTTCTTTGACAACATGCCCTGGTTGCAGCAGATCCTCAGATGTCATGATAATGTTTTGTTTGGTGAAATCTCAGCCCTCCCAGCTCAACTTTTTTGGCAAATTGAAATGCTGATAATCAATACACACGCCATATTTCTTTACGTATTATGATGTTTAACGTCTGATGAAGTTAGCACTGTGCTGGATACTGCTTCGGGTAGAAATATTTGCTTTTCATTTACACTTTCAGCTTTCAGGCCTTTTTCAAAGGCAAAAAGTTCTTGGATCACAGACTGACATTTCATATACTGCAATTTTGACAACTATGTCAAAGAAGGGGAGACAGTCAGAGCGAATATTGAATAAAGTAGGACAAAGATAGAGCTACATATAAATTTAAAGGTCCTCAAATTTCTCCCAATCAAATCCCATGCAGGAGGTTTTCCGTATTGACCGTAAGCGACGTTGCCACGTCCAAACACGTATTCGCACAATCTACTACATTATCACAATACGATCAACTCCGAAAATAAAGTTTTGCAGATTTGTGAGAAAATATAACTATAGCCTTAAGATATGCATACATTTTTTAATTCTGTGGAAAAAATTATTCAGTCTGCATTATTGTAATACATTCATGAAAACTCAAACCGCAAACATACTTTTTGGTAAAAATGTCTATAAATTCACAATTACAATTTAAGGCCATACAGTTTAGAATTTCACGACGAGCATCCCCTTTCCTGTACGGACGAGTCAGTCTCGAATTCCGCCTTCAATCAGGGAATCCGAATTGACATGAGATAATATCAGACCATGCATTTATTTTTGTTGTGGCAGTTTTTGTTTTGGTTCCCACAAGGTACTGCGCTGCTTGTACAGAGCAATGATTTCAGGACTTTTTGCTTGGTTCATTTTCATTCTGTCGACTCAGTCGCTCGATCAAACGACGCGAGGGACTCACCGTAAAACTCGGGCGAGGGGGCACGTCTTCACGGTGTGAGGGAATAGAAGCAAAGCTGATGCGCGTCATGTAAATCCGCCGTAACACATTACTAATCAACAAAAGCAAATGTGGAGCTCAACATTTCCTCCAATTATTTTACCATATTGTGACGTGTTACAATGTCATACATGTTTCTTCCCGTAGAAGGTTTTCCTTCATCCAAATCGCTCAAAAAGTTATTATTCAAATGTTAAAGTACAAGATTTCTTGTATTGATATAGTGCTAAATCATTGTATTTGTGTTATATCAAATTTCAATAAGATTTTCAGCTTATGTACTTTTGAATGTTTTGAATCCAGTCCAAAATTCTAGTCAGATAATCTGGCAACAGCGCGGGTGCACCAGCTGCCCGTCATGCGCTTCGGACAGGCGCATCGGAACATGCGCAAAAAAGGGGCGGACGTAGAACGAAGGTTCGCCATTTTTAGTCGAACTGACCAATCGATAAAGGGTCAGCTGATCACATGTAGTCGTATCTTGACGTAACTCCGAAGGTACGAAAATGACAGTTCGATCGCAGACCTAACCTCATTTATTTACATCCAAAACATTGAAAGATCTTATATTCCAATATTCAAAAGGATGGAAAAAGACGAGCTTTGGCGTGCCTGTTTTGGATTTCGTTATTGTGGTCTTCGAATTCAATGTTTCGCTGTACCATGATGAAGACTGAGAGAAGTATGTTACAAGAACTTCATTAGAAACTTTGTATTTGTCTTCAATGTTGCTTCAATCTGCAAAACTTTCAAATATCGTATTGTCCCAGGGACCAAACCCTCTACTCTAACACGACGTTGATAATTGTCAGCTCAGATATACTAAATCTAGAAGCAGAGTAAATAAAGATACTTATACCATCTATTCCCATATTTTTTTTAATAAAACCGTCTTGTGTTGTTGATTCATAGAAAGATCCACTGTTCTAATGATTTATCATATTTTTCCCATACAAAAATGTAAAATTGGTGCTCAATTTTAAACCAGGATGCTTCCCACAACATGAAAATGCATGTTGGCAATTTACATCGGTCAACATGTCTGTCTATTGGCGTCTTTGCAACCACAAAACTTTAGAAACAGTTGTACACATTTTGATGAAATTTGGGAAAGGATAAGCTAAGGGCAGCACATTATGTATTGATACTATGTTTTTCCAGTTTCTGTTAATTTTTTGATGTCATTAGGTGATAATTTAAGGTTTAAAAAAAAATGAAAAAGAGTTGCAAAAAAGAATGGTAACATGTTTTTTATTTTAACATCACTGCATCAACCTAAGACGCACCTGTTTTGTACGTCCAGTCTGGATGCGCCATCACATCTGTAAACTCCAGAATTAATGTGTAGGGAGGTTGGTAGTATGGGTAGGAAACAGGATCCGGCAATAACTTATCCCTAGAAGGCTCCTGGATAAATGTGGTTACGGCATCAATCTGTTTCCTCATGTTCATCAGGTACTGTTTCCATATTGGAACTTCAGGGTCCAGAGTTTCTGGTTTTGCTATTTTGATGATGATGTAGGCACTGCACAGTGCTGCTGATGTCCCCAACACTATCAGCAGATATTTCAGGGATTTTGGTATTGGTGCATTTTTCTCTTCTCCTGAAGTATCATGCTTGTCATCTACCTTTAGGAAAACAGTTATGGAAGATTTGGTTTTAATTACAATTAACAATTTGAGGGTCAGGAAAATGTTCTAAGAAAATTTCTGATTATATTCTTTTCTAAATATAAAGGCAAAATATGATGAAACATATTTGCTTCACCTTTCATAAGATTTGTTCTACCATAGATTGTCATTTATAGTTTTAGGGAAGGAGCAATGACAATTCCACCACCATGATGGCCTTTTTCAAAATAGAATTGACAGTATATTTTGTTTTAACTGTCATGCAGGAGATTGTTCATTTGTTCTTTTTGTTTCTTGGCTATGAAGTATATTGTCATTTGTACTTTGAAAAAGGCCACTATGGTGCCTCAAATGTCAACAAAAAAGTCATTCACACATGTGTTTTGTTTAGCCAATTTCGATGAAATTTTTGACACAATGTAGTTACTGCTATCCCAAAAGCTTTCTAGTTTTTGAAAATCAGTCCAGTGGCAGCGGCGAAAAAAGCCACAAACAAATCCATTCATGTACTGAGAAGGTTTGACTGATATAAACCTTATGATGTTTTTCTGTGCAGTCATTTACTGGGTTTTCCAATAACTGACTTGCAGACATTTACCAGTTGTTGCAGGGGAAGATAATATGGACAGATCAACTATTTGTAAATCACAAAGGTATTTTTGTAAAACACATTTCGGTGCATATTTTCTATGTTTTGTGTTTATGATTAATTCAGAATTGATATAAAATTATGAATGAAGTTGAGTAATAAAATTTTGCTTTTAAAGGTCCTGTCGGAGAGAAAATATTTATGGTACTTGTATTTTTGTGATTAAATGCATACCTTGAACCCCTTATTTTGAAAAGCCCGTTCGACAGTGGCAAGACGCGTAGTCGTATTTCCTGGACCTGAGCTTTCCATCGAAGGGTTTTGTCCGCTACTACAGTACACTTTGCTGAATGCAATGCTGGACAGCGGCGGCAGACAGAATCGTACCACTCGTTTTGCCAATACGTCACCTACTAAGTTCCACATTTTCTTTTTTATACTGCTACTTCAGAACGAAAATTTCCGTTTGTTGTCAAAGTTTGACTTTTGAGCAGTTTGACAACTCATGTCACTCGGAAAAGTTTGACAGGAACGAGCATCTAGGGTTCACAGGGTGTGTTGTTACCTATTCTCGCTGTTTTCTTTTTTGGGTGATAGTGATAAATTAGAAACGTTTAACAGAGATAAAGTGTATGAATTCATGTAACTGTCGAAGTTACGGTTTCTATTGTTACGTCCTACGCCTCCGGTAGGTATTGTAATTGCGAAAAATTTGGGAAATGAGATATTGTTTTTGAATGTTATATGACATGCACATCACGAAAATCTGCGTCACTCATGTCTGTCGATCGGTCTGTCTGTTGGTTTGTTCGCTAATCTTTAACTTGGAAAGTGCTGATCGGATTTTGAAGAAATTTTCATACGTAGATATTACTGTGCCAAGCATGAACAAGATTTATAGTTTTTGAAAAACGGCCCAGTTGCTGCGAGACTAAAGGCAAAAAACTTTGTTTTTTTGATATTTCAGAGGTTGCCGATCATTTTAAGAAACATTTTTGTAGGGGTTAAAAATTGTTCATATAGAGGAGGAGAATATATCTCAACCTTTTGGCGTTAGTATAGTTTATTCGTGTACTTTATTAAAGTTTTATGTAAATTGACTGGAAGACAACGGAATTGTTATCCAAAGTATCGAAAATTTACTTCTAAAAGGTCATTATTTGGCGTACGTTGCAAAACCTGATGATGTTAAATACAAATAAAGTACTAGGTGTCTGTCATGATTCACAAAAAAGTCCGCGAAACTATGCGTCTATCTTATTTGAATCATTATAACTGATTTTCTTTCAAGTTAGTCAACGACGTATAAGTGAACACTACATTATATACAGCGTTTGGGCAAAGTACAACCAACTTGTTAATATCCCAGTGATTATATTGACTGATAATTACGCGACAGATCGGGGTTCGATCCCCCCACCAGAGGGATTTTTTTTATTGATCTAAATACAATTGTTTCTTTTTACACATAATCAAGCCGTTTCAATGATGTATACAGCGGATTACCAGTAACCTTCTAGATCGGGCGGTAAACGTATAACTTCAATGTATGTTTATTTCAGCAACTGATAACATTGAAGAAATCAACATCGAATACGCGCAAGCTCAAAAAGCCGTACACCCCTTCCCCAGAAAATAACAGAAAAAAGGCAATAGTCGAAGAGAAGCGTTTAAAAAGCAAACAAAATGGAAGAAAATCCGATAAACTTTCGAAGAAAATAAAAATGAAAAAGAAGCGTTCCACTGGATCGCCAAGTAGTAGCAGTACCAGCAGTACTAGTGACAGCAGCTCGTCCAGCAGTAGTTCCGGGGATGAATCGGAATCAGATTCGGAGGGAGAGAAGAAGAGGATGAAGCTAGAACTGGAAAAGAAGCTGCTGAAGAAGTACCAATCAGAAATCAGCGAATTGGTGGTGAGTAAATGATGCCGTACGAGGATAATGTCAACATTTCTTGGCCTAACACAGTAATGGCGCTCCAATCAGCAAACATTTATAATTCCCAAATGGGTGTACATGCCATTTAATAATAATTAAAACTTTGCTGCTGAATGCACAAGTAATGCTTACACACGTCATTGAGAATGTGGGTGTATGTTATAACAAATTACATACGCTGGAATAATAAACAACTTATTATGAAGACAATATCCAACCACAAATATGCAAAACTGAAGGTG